GGATTACTTTCTTCTTTAAGCTTTGCTGTACTTTCCACATTGAGCTGGAAAGTTACAAATATTTAAAAGAAAATCTGTTGAGGGCGCCACCATTTTTACCCTTTGTCATGTCCTCCGAATGTACAGTGTTTCCCAAACCAATCTCAAACTAAATACTCTTGAATTCTTACTCTTTTCTCCTGGTGTTGGAAGAACTCACTTTTTGCTATGTAATCAGTCCCTCCTTCACCACCAGTTCATCGTCACACATCTTTATGTCACATACAGAGCCTTCACTCCATTCTATAAATCTTCCCTCCCTGTATTTTAGCCCAGTGAGTGACTAAAGTAGCCACCTCTGGGTTTCCATTGCTTTTAGCCAGATCTGAAAGTTTTGTCTCTGTCTCTATCTTTGTAGCTTTGTTGGGTGCAAGAAATAATGTTGATTATTTCATCATTTTTAACACTCTTTTGGGCATAGGCTAAGCCAAGTGACCTTGTGATTTCCTTATTTTCTGAAGTACGGAGGCGCGTTCTAAAGCACCTTACCTGGGAGGCTTCCTAGTCAGCCCACGCCTGAGCTCTTCTTCCCGTGTCTCCTGCCTCGTCCTGCACTCGGTGTTCACTCCCTTCCTCATCTCCCCGTTTACCCGTCTGCATAGTGGAACCAGCAGCCTGTACACGGAAGCGTAGTGGTGGACAGAACTGGTGACTTCCACAGAGACTACCTGCCTGAGCCAGCTCAGCGTTGACAGGGGGCTCGAGTTCTGCAGCTTCATCCTCGGCCCTGGACGCCCAGTGGAACCTTGCTTGCTGCTGTGTTCCTGCACCTCGTTAGCTTTCTCCAGCCTCCACCTCCACCAGCAAAAGGCTGTCCAAATGTCTGGCTTTCAAGCTAGTGCCTCCGAGGTGGACTCTACTTCTCTGTCCACTCTTTGCAGGTCGCAGCCCTAATCCGACTCTCCATCTGGCTTTCTGTCTCACCTGCATATGCTGTCTCTTGGATCGCTGTCAACTTCATGGTCTTGGACCCTTCAAACCAACCCAGGACCTTGGCAGGTCTCAGCCCATATTCTGCGTATGGGGTTCCTACAAGGCTCGGAGTTAAGTTCAGACTACCCAAGGTAGATATGTTCTTTCATGCAGGCTGATGTCCTGTCTCAGCTGACAGGGCTTAACCTGCAGTGACCCGAATCTACAGAACAATGGTCCTCCTGGAACTATTCTTGATCCGTGATCTGGCTCATCCACCCTCATGACTTCATATTTCTGCTAGCCCTGATCTCTTTCTGTTTTCCAGACCCATAACTTACATTATCTTTAGTGCATCTCTTGGCTTTCCTGCTCTCAGAGAAAGTTATTTATTGATTTGTTAATTCATCCAGCAGGCACGTATGAACACCTACTGGTTGGCGCTGCAGACAGTCAGAGACGAGTCAGGAAGTTAGACAAAATAAAGGGCTATGTCAGTTAGCATGCTTTTTATTGCTAGTGACAGACGTCCTGATTCAAACTGGCTTAAACAAAAGTGGAATGTATTCCCTCACATATCTGGCAAGTCTAGGGGCAGATCTGGTTTCCTTCAGGCACAGCTGGATTCGTGGATCTTAAATGCTACCTTTGGGACCTGGCCTGTCTTCATCGCTCAGCTCTGCTCTGCTCGGCGATGGCTTCATTCCCAGGCTGTCTACATGGTGGCAGGATAGATGTTGACAGTGCCAGGCCCACATTTCCCCGGGTTCCAGGACAGCAGAAGAGGCACCGCTCCCTCAGCAGCCCCACCAGATCCTGTGGGTTCTCCCTGGGTGCTGTGCTCTGCCCTGAACGAATGAGTTTCGCCAGGGAAATTCAATGCTCTGACTGGTCAGACTGGAGTCATAGGTCCTCTCCTTACATTTGAGCGTGGAGTCAACTCTGTTCAAGCGCTTAAGTTGCGAGCAAGGGATACAGTGGTTCCCCTGAGGACAAGGCGATGGACGTCGCATGGTTAAAAAAAAATTTCAGCTGCCAGTTACAGCCATTATGTTTATGAAAAGTGTATATGGTAAGTTACCGACAAGGTCAAGTCTGGCAAAGGGAGTGTTTTATTTTACTCGGTAGGTAATAAGCAAAGGACTTCCTCCTCTCAGCATCACTCCCTCCTTTCCTTCCTTCTTTTCCGCAGGACTGAGTGCCTGCTTTGTTCCAGGTGCAGTGTAGACTGTCTTAGAAGGGGACCCTGCTCGTAAGGAGCTTACAGAGTGTGAGGAAGAGAGATAGTAGGAGTGATGCACCCACGTTTACTGAGGACTTGTATTTTAAGAAACAGAAATGCAAAGAATACTTCTGTGTTTTTTAAAAAATTAAAAAGACAACTGCAACCCCGGCTGTCTCAAAACACTTCTGTTTTGTTCAGCGCTTGGAATAAGTCCCTCTGGTGTGCTTTGTTAAACAATGGAAACGCCATAGCCACAGTTTTTTAATTTTTTTGCGTAGGCTGCTGTAAAACTCAGACTTAAAACCTGTGCTTAATTAAAGGAAACTTCTCTTGGCCTAAGTTTTCCTTAAGATTCCTTTGCTTTTTTCTTCCCCCTTTTTTTAATATTTGGTTTAGGATTTTGTGGTTTTATCATACCTGGTACCTTTGTAGTGAGGTATTGAAAATAGAGATGCAACAGAGATAAACAGAATACCTTTCATTTCCACTTTTACCGTAACCGTCTCTGCTTCTGATCTGTGGCCGGTTGTTAATGCATCTCCCACCAGTGCCCAGTCGTTTCCCCTCCTGCATCTAGACATCATCAGTGCATTCACAGCTTGCGTGTAGCGGGCCGACCGGATACTGAAAGGAACACGTATTCCTTTTTTTAAGAAAGGCAACAAACATGAAAATGTGTTTGTGGCATTCAACATCCAACATGCAACCTTCATATTATTTTTTAGCTGTAGATTTATTCGGCTCTGTACTATGGAAAAGAGATTGAGAAAGGCAACACAGATAATCCAAGGATTAGAGATTACATGAACACAGAGGTTCTCAGCTGGAGGTCTGGCAATGCCTGGAGACGTTCTTGACCATCTTGGCTCCTGGAACCGTGTGGGTAGAGGTCAGAGATGCCGCCAAACATCCTACTACGCACAGAACTGCCCCCCGCCCCGAGGAATTATCCCGTCCAAAATGTCAGTAGTGCCGCTGTTGAGAAACCTTGCCTTGATTGGATTTTTAGAATTCTAAACCCTGAAAGGATTCAGAGTAAGCTTGTAATTTAGGCTTAAGACAAAACTGGAAACCAGTGAGACTCAGACAGTTGTAGCCTCCTGGCGCTGACAGGAAGTCCTCTCGTCTAGTCTTTGTTTCCCACGTACGGTAGCCAAGCCACACAGGAGAGGAGTGACCGGGGGCAGCAGAACGCTGCCTCCTGGACGTGTGAGCAGGCAACTACCCAACCTCTCTGTGCCTCCATTTCCTATTCTGCAAAGAGAGACACGAAGACTTGCCTCGGATGGCTGCTGTGAGGGTCAAGTGCAATGACACGTGAGATGGCCAGTGCAGAGCCCGGCCATGGCGGAGGTGAGCGCCGAGGTGGTAGTTACTGTCACGTTGTTCGCGGGCACAGAGCTAGCTTGCGGCTTGGTTAGCCCTGTTCCCTGACTGCCTGTCCCATTTTCTTTCTCTTACGCTGCCTGGAGGGTCTGTGAAGCAAAGCCATAGGGGCCACTCAGTGCAGATTAAAGAGCACTGGCCTGGAGAGCAGCTGTGTAGCTGGTAATTCAGGAGAAAGTCTGGAAAGAAGTTCTTCACATAAGACAGGCAAGGGGGTTAAATTGTGGGCAGAATCTAAGGAAGACTAAAAAGGAAACAGGCTAGTCTCTCTGATCCCAAAACTCTGTGAGTGGTGCTCCAGGAAGGGCGGAGCTTAGATCAGATGACCTTTACCAAACCCTTATATCCCTCACTGTTCTTGCCGCCCCGACAGAAGTATGTCCGGGAGGGTCCCTGAAAGGCTGGGGTGCTTACAGCAGTATTCGGGGACCCTTTCAGCCCTAAGGTTTTCTGATGTCTGATAAGTCTGTGGGCCTGCTGCTGGAACGCTCATGTGACACTGTAGGTGATGCCCAGTGGGCACACAGACAACACAAATCTCTTGTTTTGTGATTTGTGGAGTAAAAACCGCTTTAGTGCGTTTTACTAATTCAGTCAACGTGAGCATGTAATTAAGATGTTGTGCAAAGTGCTTTTTGCTTCTGACAATGATAAGCTATCTTACCAACAATTCTGTGAAATAGGTTTCCTCTCATTTTCTTAAAAGACAGAAAAAGTATTTGTAGTTACTCTAATTTTTTTTTGTTTGATTCACCACCTAAATTGTTTTTAACCAGCGGCTTTCTACAAAAATAAGCAAAATTCAAAAGCATTAAAACTCTCTGGATTATAAGGATGGGGTAAATTCTCTTGAGGGCGAATCTCACTCATTAGCCTTCTCTCGAGTATCCCGTGTGTTGAATTGAACTCCCAAGTGATTCTACATCTGACAAAAATAGTCTGTGTGTCGTTTAAAGACATTTTCTCCTACATCTTATGTCGGTCCTCCAGCTGTCATAAAGATTACTTTAAAAAATCAGCTCAAACAAGTTGCTACATGAGAAAACAGTGAATCACAGCTGATTTGATCTATTTTCTATTTGTGTGACATTCAAGATCCACAGAGCAGCTGGAGAAGAGGCACAGGCACCCATCCCCTGGCTGCTGGCTGAGCACCAGGCACTGGGCTAGACTCCCGGAGCCCAGGGCAGGCCCCCAGGCGCAGAGAGGGGAAGTGACTTACCCCAGGTCGCACAGCTCTTAAGCAGGAGAGCCACAACACAGCCCCACCTGGCTCCTAAGTACGTGAGTTTGCTACAGACTGGATCTTGACAAGGAATAATTGAAGACTTGGAATTTAAAAAAAAGTCCCCCTAAGGTTTGACTGTTTTTAATTTAAAATGCCTCATTGTGAGGAGGCAGTCTGTGGTTTTGTCTGACCTTCCGCTTTTCTTTCAAGGTGTTGTGTAACGGACCAGGAACGTGCGTTCCTATCTGTGTATCTGCCCTCCTCCTTGGGATACTAGGAATAAAGAAAGTGATCATCGTCTACGTTGAAAGCATCTGCCGAGTGGAACATTTATCCCTGTCCGGAAGGATTCTGTTTCACCTCTCCGATTACTTCATCGTTCAGTGGCCGACTCTTAAGGCGAAATACCCCAAGTCTGTGTACCTTGGGCGAATTGTTTGATGAACGACAACTTACTTCTTCAGAACTTTACAGGCAACAATATTTATTATAAATGGAGAACAAGAAACTACATGTTTATTGGAAAAAGCTTTTGAAAATCCTGAGAATTATTGGTGGTCAAGGGTGAAAATATATACATATAAATAAACCAGTGAGGAAACTGCAGTTGCTCTTATAAAACAAACACTAATAAACCACTCTGTGTGCCTCTGTGCTCCGAATTTCTTTTCTGTACGGAAGTATCTCTCACTACCTGCAAGTTATCTTCTGACTGATTTTAGTAATATTTTTCTTCTAGAACTAAATATAGAATTTGCATGATTAGCTCCATTTCCTGTTCTACAGCTTTTTTTAAATAAGTATTCTGCATTGTAGAGAGAAAGCTATTTTTTAGTTTTTGTTCAGACACAACAGGGTTCATTTCCTGTGTGGAAACAGAGGAGTCCCTCGTGAATCCTTTCAGCGTAAAGGAAGCAGTTACATTAACCTGGCTCCATGACAGTTTGCACTCCACAGGCTTCCAAAACCGAGCACATAAACCAGTATCTTTTTCTGTTGCTGTTGTTCCTCAGTTTTGTTTTGTGAGTTGTTGGCCTCCACCCAGAATATCTTTTAAAATCTTTTGTTTGTTAAAATAAATTAAAAGGCGACCACTGTCATAGTAATAAAAACGTGACTCTGTATATCAGGTCGTTTTTTTTAATGTTTCGGTAAATTCACAGTGTCCCGGGTGTAGTTGTCTCTGGCTGGCTGAGATGTTCAGGCCCAGCGGAGTACAGATTTACGTAGCATTTACGTGCATGCTTGTTGTTTGTCAGAGATTCTTCTAAGCGCTTTTCATGTATTAACTCATTGAGCTCAGATAACAACTCAGTGAGGCAGCGACTGCTGCTACCCCCATTTTACAGATGACTTCCCGGTCAAAGCCGGGATTCAGGCCCAAGCAGCCTGTCTTAAGAGCATGGGCACGTGGCCTGTGCGGTCTCGTGGGGACCCATCGTTAGGAGGGCCCACACTTGGTTGACTGCTCAGCTGTCTCCCTCTTGAATTTCTTAACGTATTTTGAACAAGGGGCCGACACTACACTTTTCGTTGGTCCGTGCGAATTGTTCAGTGGGTCCTGCTTGAGAGTCTGCGCCCAGAGAGCCCCGGCAGGCACAGCAGAAGCACAGCACGTGCTGCAGGGCCGGCCCGGCCGCTCTGTGGTCCCCAGGGTTCCCAGTGCCCGCCCTGCTGCTGGAACAGGGCCACGATGAGAAGACCTCTTGTGGTATTTAAGTCGTTTCATTTTTCCACTTAAATCTTTCTTATGATACAAATCTAATAAAGAAATGGTAGGAAATTAAAGAAATTGACTTTTGGTGAAAAGAGACATGGTCACCCAAGATGATGTAAAACTAAAATGCTCAGGCTGCCCTAGCCTTTCTCCTTCTTTTAGAAAATCTCCTTTCTTCTTCTAGAAAATCTCTGAATCAAGTAGGCGCGTCTGACATCAGGTCACTTCCCTGGGTTTTTGGCTGGAGAAGCGCATGGCAGAAGACTCTCAGGACAGGGAAAGCGTTTTGCTGTCTGGATGTGGTGGCCGTGGGGCAGCCAAGCGCTAGTTCATCGCGCTTTGACTTTAATTCTCAAATCTCAGCCGCCGTAAAGGCCTAAAATATCAGACAGCATGTTTGTGTGGTTCAGCCAGGAGTGAAGATAAAGGGCACCTCTACGTTTCTGTGGAGAAAGTGGTTTTCTAGGGGCAGCAGCGTGTGTATTTCTTGCACCTTTGAGTTTTTCTCTGCTCTGTCCCTAATCCTACGTGGCACGAGGTAGATGGCTGGGGAGTGAAACTGGACTGCGTTCAGTGCAGTTAAGGCCTGTCTGTGCTCCAGGGCAGCCACCCCAGCGCCCCCACAGCTAAGCTCCTGGAGGGCCAGAGCTCACCACGCTTAGGCCACAGAGACTTGTAGAAAAGAGGCCATGATTTTTCCCAGAAACATATGGCCCAGATGTTTTGTAGAGCCTTGACTTAGCCAATGGTTAGCCTGGAATGTCAGAGGAGGAATCTGTATGTGTCAGATCACTAAAAGTTCAGAAATATCTTCCTGGATTTAGGCTGCTGTATACATATTCAGAGTCAGGCTGAGACACACATCGTCACGTCCTGCTCAGTTTCAGATTATTTGGTAAACAAATGTGTGCTCTGCTCTTACTCTATGAGTTAATTTTGTATTTTTGTTGTTATTATTATGGCTAATTCAAGTCCTCAAGGTCGCAGGTCACACTAGCAACGGGGACTGGCCTGAGCTGACAGTGGAAGCAGCTTCCTGCCATGCATTTCTGTGGCATTAAGAAAGCTGGTGCTCCAGAGTCCATGCACACTGAAGGAGACCAGTAGCTAGCTCGCCCTTTCCAACTGCTCTCGAAACACTCTGGAACGTAGCTTGTACTGGAAGAGACTGTTCATGAAAAGTTAGTTGCATCAGTCTTTAAATGCGAGGCAGGGAAACCACACATCCTGCCCACACCTACTTCCCTGGAAGATTTTATCTACAGTCCAGCAGTCCTAAAGGGTCTCAAAGCCCAACTGTTTCAGAAAGGACGTCCAAAAGTCATCACAGGAAGCTGCTGCTGGCACGAAGAGTGCTGTGAACCCACGTCAACAGGAGGGATGCTGTGCGATTTTAAACTGAAGAGCAACAGGTCCTTGCTAGAAGAGAAATGATGACCCAAGCTTCCTCTTATAAAAGCAACTTGAAACACACTGTTTATTTGGCTTTACCAAGGTAGGTTGCAGTGGAGAAATGTATCCCCCTCTTACCGTGCAGCATCCTGTGCTGAATGCTCTGTGTCTTCTGAAAAGCCCCGTCTCACCACAAGGAGTTTGATAGCAATGTATTCTGCATCTTTTATGCACAGTAATGTCATCATGAGTGTTTTAAAGAAAATTGTCCTCCATCCAGCTCGGTGTCTGGGGGCCTTGTGGCATTTCTTCCCCATAATTCTGGCTTTGGCAAGCCATGAGCAGACACCCGGACTTTCCCGTCTGCCCTGAGTGTTCTTCTGTAAGCCCCAGCACCCAGCACTCTGAAGTCAAGTTGTCTCCAGCTGTGTTCTCGCTGCCACTCACTTTAAACATGGATTTGATGTGGCTCAGCCTTTTCCCTGCAGAGCAGTTGCTGCAGTTGCCTGGTGCCAGGCCTGGTTTTATCTCTCACACAGCAAACTTCGAAATAATTTTGATTTTTTTACTCTCTTTGCTTAATCCACATATAATTGGTTGCCTTTTTATATTACTACCCCCAGAATTTTCCCTTGTCTTTTCATCCTCTTTTCTCCTTATCATCTGAATTCCCTATCGAGTCTGCCTTTGAACTAGTTCATATCCACCCTTGCTTTTTAGTCCTATGGTCACAACTAAGCTAACTCTCCAACATAAATGCCTTGTTCTGTTGGTACGTTTTTTTGAGGAACTGAGGCAGAGAGAGATTAACAAGATTTTAGACCTAGAAAGTAGCAGAGCTAAGATTTGAACCAAGGCACTCTAGCACCAGCCAGACTTCCTGGTGGTCCCTGGGCCACATTATGTTAGGTTTAAAGTTAAAAAGTGCTGGAAAGGAAATTAACAGGTGCCGTGATGGGAATGCAGTTCTGGGTGCTGGCGATGGGGGGGTATCCGGAAAGGCCTCGCTAAGAAAGGGACATCCTAGCTGAGATCTGAGGCACAGTGCCTGAAATCCTCGTCCTCTTCCCACTTCCCCTCCCAACCTACACGTCACCTCTCCCGTAAAATCCCCCTGTTCTCCCGTAGCCTGGTTTCAGCAGCTTCTCCAGACACTTCTGTGTCCTTGCCACCCACCCGGCAGGTCAGCACTGATTACACACCATCCAGCGGCGACACCTGTGAAGGGAAGATCATGCGGTTTTGCTGATGCTCTCTGCATGTGTGCCTCACTTCAGGGGCTGCACCTCGTGCTGCTCTTGTATCCTTGCTCCACTCCGGGTCACACCTGCCACAGTTCTGGATGGAATGTAGCCATTAAGTAGGTGCATAAATTCCTACACCTTCAGGCCTTGTCTAGGCCTATTTAGTTCCATTTCATCTGGACCAGTGGTTCTCAAGCTTTTTGGTCTCAGGACCTCATTAAAACTTATTGAAAGACCCCCCCGCCATGAACTTTCGCTTATATTTCATCAATCTTTACTACATTAGAAATAAACTAGAAATTGGTTTTTTTTTAATTCTTGTTTTTTATTGAAGTATAGTCGATTTGCAATGTTAGTTTCAGGTATACAGCAAAGCAGTTCAGTTATACATATACATACATATATATTTTTTCAGATTCTTTTCCATTACAGCTCATTACAAGAAATTGAATATAGTTCCCTGTGCTATACAGTAGGTCCTTGTTGTCTTTGTATTTTATATATAGTAATGTGTTGTTTGGGAGTTCTGGGGGGGAGCGGTAATTAGGTTTGTTTGTTTGTTTATTTGATAGAGGTACTGGGAATTGAACCCAGGACCTTGTGCATGCTAAGCACGTGCTCTACCACTGAGCTATACCCTCCCCCCTTATATATAATAGTGTGTATCTATTAACCCCAAACTCCTAATCTGTCCCTCCCCTCTTCCCCACTGGTAACCACAGTTTGTTTTCTATGTCCTCGAGTCTATTTCTAAACCAGAGCTTTTTTAAACATAAGAACACACAGGGACACATTCCAGTAGCCGTCGGAGAAATGACATCATCACACATCGTGTAGCATCTAGAAAACTATAAACTCATAAGAGAATGAGAATGAAAAAGGAAGATAACATCTTAGCGTGTCTTAATAATATGGCAATCGTTTTGACCTCATGGGCCCCTGAAAAGATCTTGAGGGCCCCCAGGCATCCCTGGGCCACACTTTGAGAAGTGCTGCTCTTCATAGTGGCACACCAGGACTTCACCTCCTCGAACAGCCTTCAGTCCACAGTGATCTGTACTAGTTTTCTGCTGCTGTGTAATGGGGTGCCGCAGACTTCGTGGCTTAAAATAGCGCCTATTATCTCCCCACGCTGGAGAGTAGAAATCCAGGCAGGGCTCCGCTGGTTCTCTGCTCAGGGTCTTGCACGGCTGAAATCAGTGTAACAGCCAGGACGGGTTCTGATCTGGAACTCTGGCTCTTCTTCCAAGCTCATTCTGGTTGTTGTTGGCCAAATGCAGGTCCTTGTGGTTGTAGAACTCATGGTGACCTGTTTCTTAAAGGCTAGCTGGGGAGTCTCCACTGCTGCTTATCTCTTTTAAGGACTCACATGACTGGGTCAGGCACACCTAGGGTACTCTCCCTTTTAATTAACTCAGAGTCAACTGATTGAGGACCGTAATCACATCCTCAGAAACCCCTTTTGCCGTGTTAATATAACCAGGAGAGTGACAGCCGATGATACTCATAAGGCCCACCTGTTCTTCAGGATGGGGGATTATGCAGGGTGTGGGCGTCGTGGGCTAGAACACTGGGGGCCATCCTAGGACCCTGCCAACTACAACCTGCCTGGTGTTTTTTGTTTTCTCTTGTTTTCAAAAAAAAAGGTTTTTAAATCTTTTACTTATACCTCCAAACTCTAGCATCAATATCCAAGTTCTCTTTTTTATACATATGGGAAATTCGTCTTCTAAACCTCGTCCATTTTGTAGCAAGTTATTTTGTGCCTCC